ACTCTTAGGCTGAAGTCGATGAAAGTTCTGAAATTTTAAATGCACAAACACCAATTTGCCATGGAAATAATCTACTGGTACTTCCAGGCTCAAGTCAGTAATTTGGCTCCTTTAGTGGAAAAAACAAATTTCATTTGGTAATATATTTAAAATTCAAAAATTAGCTGTTTCTAAGTGTATTTAGGTGGCAATGCAACAGTAGCGGCCTCGTATAGGCCAGCGGTCCGATTGCCACCGGTCGAGCTAATCCGCTTGTTGCCACCTCTGTCGCCGATGTATCCACTTGTGACCAGCGGAATGCAACGACCGGCAAGACCAGGAGCGCCTGCTCATGGATTTTTCCCGAATAGTTTTGGCAATCAAAGACAAGGTACTGCATGCCGGCAGGATTGTTTCGGATATTTGGTAACGAATAGCTGAGAGATTGATAGGGCTATTTTGCATAGGACAAATATCAGCAGTGAGAAATACATCAATTTTTCGGGAAGATTATTTAATTTTTCTGGAGACCTTTCAGCATTTTTTGGTTTTTTTTTTTTAAACTTGACTTTGTCTAGCTTTTTTAGCTTTTAGAAGCAATTTTAACGGATTTTTTTATCGAAAATTATTAAAATATTTAAGGAAAGAAGGCGTTAACGTCCCCAGAATTTTATAAAAATTTAGAAGTTCTACAAAAAGTTATTTCAGAATTCATTTTATTTACATTTGTTTGAAACTATAAATATTTAAAAATATGTAAGTTTTCAGTTCACGATTCCGCTACAGTTTAGTAATACTGTCCATTGTTTAAAGCTACTATTTTCAGTTCTAATTTCGCTGACTTGAGAATATTTTCCATTTTTCGAAAATATTATATGTTTTGCTTTTTTTTCTCTAACCGGGCATAGCTACGCCAGGTGTGTGAGGGTCCGGTGCATTATGCTAGGTTTAACGAAAAAGAACCAGTAACATCATTAACATGGGATGCCTATACTGGTATTCGCGGTAGATTCAAGTCTAACCATTATCATCATTACTATAATATTACTATAATGTTATTATATTACTATGATATTATTATCATTGCTATTATTATTGAAGTACCGCGGTAATTCCCGAAAGCCTTGCCCAACACTGAGCTTATGCGAGCAGAAATTGTCTTACAAAAACCCGTCTTCAGCAGCACCCTTTAAATACTAAATGAAGAAGAGCATGCACATACCATTATTATAATATTACTGTATTATTATGATATTACTATTACTATTATTATCAAAGTACCACGGTAATTCCCGAAAACCTTTCTCAATCTTGAGTTTATACGAGTGGAAATAAACCCATCTTCAGAAGGAGTCTTTAAATTTAGATAGAGAAGAGAGCGGGTGTGCCAGCCATAGCTCAGTTGGTAGAGCGGAGGACTGTAGAGTTGGTGCAGAAATCCTTAGGTCGCTGGTTCGAATCCGGCTGGCTGGAGCTGCGCTTTTGCAGCTTCACACTTCACCCAGAATGCAGTTTAGGAAGACGGCTATGATTGAAAATTATGTAAAATTCAACTTTTTACTTCAGCGACTTCTTAAAAACCGCAGTTTTTGCCTTAACCATCCCAAGCATGCGGTTTTTTCGCCAAAAATCCTGAAATCCTACGTCAAAGATTCTGAGAAACGATGAGGGGGAG